ATCACTGTGAAACTGAGGACTGGAGTGGCTGATACTGTAGATGCACTTTGTACCAAGGACACTGCAATTATCTGCAGGTCCCTTCTCAATTATGCCATTAAGTTTTGGAAAGTAGTCTGTTGGACCTATGTTTCAGCTTCAACTAGCTGTCTTCCACATGTACCTGAATCTTAATGTGGGGGCACTCTGATGTTGTCCCTACAGTGAGGAACAGAAGGAGCTGTACCTCATCAGCATCTTCTCCCAGGCAACCAGCAACAGGATAAGAAGCCATAGTCTTAAGCTGCACCAGGGGAAGTTTAGGCTAGGCATTAGAAAAATTATCTTCACAAAAAAATTGGTTCAGCATTGGAATGGGCTGCTCAGGGAGGTGGTAGATTCACCATTCTTGGAGATGTTTAAAAAAATTAATGTGGCACTTAGTGCCATGGTTTAGTTGATAAGGTGGTATTAAGTCATAGGTTGAACTTGACCACCTCAATGGTCTTTTCCAACCTCATTAATTCTGTAATTCTGTGTACCTGAATCCATGGCATCTGACCAACAAACCTGAAGGCCACATGCAGCTTTTGAGAACAGCTTTGAGCAGATGCATTTGAAGCATCAAGAAAGGGATGCTTTCCAGTGTAATTCACAGGATGTACCTCCTCTACTGTAATAGCAAGTCTGTGGCTTTGGTCCCAGCCACCAATTTCAAATAAAATAATAACATGACAAAAAGCTAAGTGCTGTGGGGAAATTAAGGAGTTTGAAAATCAAAGTCTTTGCTTCTTTTTTTTGACAGAAAGAGATCATCCATCTAGACTTTTAAACTTTGCTTATATTCATGTTCTTTCCATCATTATTGCTGTATTTTGCACCTGAAGGAGATAAGGGGGGTGCTTTTCTTGGAAAATGCTGTATTAGTTTTCCTCAGAATGGGCACCAGTACTTTCATGGCTCATTTAAGAGGCCAACATTGTATGGCCTCTTAAATGAGAGGAGTCAAGATTGGGAGTCTTGACTAATTGCTGAACCAGAATGTTAAATGCAGGCAACCATGGCTTCCAGTGTAGTGATCTGGATCTGGTGTCCAAGAGGTTTGGGGCTGCACCACGGTCTGTGAGGTTACAGACAGAGCTGTGGTCACCCTAATCTTCTGGCTAGCCTTCCCTCAGAGAGTAGCCCTGATCTTGCCATTTCATTACAAGCATGCAAGTTGTCTGCTGCCTTCCTGCTTGGTTTTGATGTAGACTCTGCTTGCAGGATTGGTGAAACAGCATAACCCCTTGGCAGCTTCTTGAAGGCTCAGCGTGTGTTCTTCCTGCCCCTTCTACAGCTCTAGAGCAAGTTTGAGGGTGTTCTCACCTGTCTGAATTAGTTCTTATTCTTTGCTGAAACCACACAAGATCTTCAACTCCTTCATCCAGTCCAAGATGTCAAGGAAGCAAGACAAAAATGAGCTGGGTAATGGGGAAAAAAAAACCAAAAAACTGGGAAACCATTGCACCAAAGGCTAAAGCATGTGTGTAATACTCAAAGAAATAATGATCCTTGGGTCTATATATTGAAGTAGAAAGATATTTAAATTTAATCCCTACCTTTGTCTCTAGGCCTACCTACATGTTTTCTTTGTTGGCAGTGTCAGCTTTAGAAGTTCCCACCCCCTCACCACGGATACATGAATGAATTCAAATGAACTTGTCTTACCTGAAGTGTTCCTTTTTGCTTTGAAGTGCAGATGAAAGGAGGGCTCCTGACTTGCCTCGTTCTGTGTGGCTCAGACCCATGGCCTGTCTTATCTCATAAGACTATCAGTAAATGGAATCATTTTAATAATTCAGTTTGACATGATTCCACAAGCAGATGGAGCTGCACAAATTAGGGCTGATAAACTGAAGCATGTACATTAGAAAAAAAAGGGAATCAGTTAAATCAAAACTTTTAAGTGCTTTGTTATAAAGAAAACATGGATATTTAGATCTCTGTTTTGTCACTTTACCTTCTAAGGTCTCAGCATTGTGGCTGTAAAGTGACATGGGGAATCAGCTTTTAATGTTTCATCCTTTGATTTTACAGCAAGTTCTTACAGGTTAAGTTAATAATTCTGGTATTTCTGCCCCAACAGAAATTAAACTTGTAAGACACTCCGATATCCTCATTTTTTGTTGGTTCTTTAGAGCTCAATTTAGCCTTTCCTCTTGAAACTAGGCTATCTCTTTTTTTACATATGCTGCTATTTTGTGTTTGTTTTGCTTCATTTTTAGCAAAATTGCAGCTGGCTCTTAGTTCGATGCAGTGTCTGGTTTCTTCTGGTGGAATTCCAAGAAAGGAAGCCTTGGGGACAGAGAGCTACAGTCCTTCCAGTCTTTGAAGTATTTTTGCATGGATCTCACCCATGCTGCAAGGGGTCAGAAGCCTTTCAGTCCAGATCAAAATTTCCAGTACTTCTTTTGCCTCTTAGCTTTACTAATCTTCTTCATCTCTTGGCCTACATAAAAGTGAGCTCTCCCAGACAAACAAATTTTCTTTTCCTTTCTCCACTGAGTTTCACAGGCAGGTAGATATTGCCTGCTAACCCTGGTTATTGACACCAGCGAGCTGTGAAATCCAAGAACAAGCACAGAAAAGAATACTGTCAGAGAAGAATCTTGCACTGGTATTAAGTTGAAAATAAACCCTGCATAAGTGTCCCAAAATCAACTGTGCAAAGATTTCCTCTGTTTCTCAGCCTGTTGGTTCGTGTTTACTACCTTGATTGCATCTTAAAACTGCTTAATGTGGTTTTATTCATAATCAGCTAATGGACTAAGTGGACTTCTAGGGCTCATCTTCTTCAAGGTTTGCTGTTGTGGTGCAACCTGTCAGTGAACGCATGCAAGGCACCAAGCTCATGTTTGCAGCAGAGTACTAATACACATCATAAGGAATTTTCCATTGCTGGGGACTTTCTCTGCCCTTTCTCAGTACAGGCTTCATTTCAAAATATTGTCTGCATTGGCCAAAATTACTTTCCCCAAGGGTCAATCTTTTTTCTTATTAGCAAGGTTTTATTTGATTTGTTGCCTGCTCCACACATGGTTCAGAGATCAGGAAGGAAATTGCACAGGGCTGAAACAGGCAGGTGCATGCATCAGCAATGGACTGTAGACAGTTGGTGCCATTCATACCTATGTGGCCAGCTGCCTGGTTTGCAGAGATGTAGCTAATTCAGTCCTGGGTGGCTTGGTCACCTGGCTGGGACTAGCAATAACACCCAATGGATGGGCAAGGGCAGCCTGTGCTTGCATGGATTTTTCAAGTGTAGCATAGAACAGCAGGTATTTCAAGATGCTTTCTCTTCTAGGTGTGCTTGGCTCATCTTTCTCCAAGCTTGACTGCTTCTGGTTACCAGCCATGCAGATCTTAAAGAAAGCTATTGGCATCTGTGTGTCTGTATTACTGTTTGGAAGTCTGTTCTTGAAGGTATTTCTTCATCTTGGAGAGAGCAGGCAGAGATGGAACTTGGTGCAGATTTTGCTTAATAGGTGCAAGCAAATTTTCTGTTCTTGACCATCCACTTTTAGCTCCTGCCCAGAGAAGGCTAACAACACTAGCCCTGCAAGGTCCTTAAAAGTAGCCTCTGAGAATGTAGCATCTGCAAGATTGGGGGGGAGAAAAATATATGGAGCACTTTTCCCATAACAGGAAAAAAACCATCCTTCTCCAGCTTTGACTTCATGGCATCATCTTTGCTATCCTCCTTACCCTTATCCTTTCCTTCCCATTCTTTACAGCACAGGGTCCACCTGGTGAAGACTCATCCCTGTCAGGGACCTCCCACATGCAAATGGCAATCCACACTTTTACAGTTACAACAGATCAACTGGCATGCAGTTGCTTAATGAGGAAGTAAAGTCAATTAGTCTCCCTTCCACATTAAATTGATTGTCCAGGCCACACGACTCTGCCTGGCCACCCAATAAATTTTCTGTTCAACAGCTGCCAGAACATCATGCAAACCACCTCTTCCCTCTGAGCAACGTGAATGGCTGCATCTTTCCCTCACAGCAGCATTGTGGGGACCAAGATTATTGCTTCTTAGCGACTCCTCTCTGAATAGACAACCTCAGTTTACAAGTAAAGCAGAGAGGCTGTGTTTGATTGCCTTGGAAACACAGAAAGCTAAGTTGTTTTCACTCTTCTCTCTCATTCTTTTGCTCTAGTTTGCTCACCAAACAACATCCTGTGAAATACTTGTGCATCTCACTGTCTGCGACTAACAGGTGGAATAATTTGACCTCTGTAAATAATTATTTTGTGGGTGCACAAGAGCACAGACTGGCTCACTAAGCATTGGTAGCTGTGCAGGGAGAACAGAAGCAAAAGCAGCAAGAATTATTTCAGCCTGTAAAGTCATCAGACTTGATACATAGAGGAAATATACTGGGCAGGACAACATGATTTAACAAACCAAATTTTCTAATAATAATTTTATTTACAACACAAAGGTCTCTCACTATCATGCATGGAAGAGAGGGAGTAAGAAACAAACCTCTAACAGGGCAAGGCTGAATGAGCCAGTGACTGCACAACTGCTGATGTGGCCAGGCAGTTGTGTAGGATATATGTGCAACCTCTACACACAGGCACATGACTGTATGTCTAACTGACACCTATATAAATAAATGTATGGGAACCACGTCTGTGCACGTGTTGGCTTTCAAATGAATGTATATGAGTGCACACACTCAGACCAGGTGTAGTATGAGCATTTTTAACCTGTTCATACGTGATCAGAGTTGTGGAAGCTGCTGCCATTGCCACTGCCCCAGCTGTATGCTCAGGTGTGTATGTTCCTTTTACATGTGCGATCACACTCCGGGTGTGCACTGTGGGAAATGCTTTTCACAGGACGCTGATTGTGGTGAGACCCTAAAGCAGTCATTTGCCTCTTTCCGTGACTCCAAGTCTTTTTCCCATTTGCACAAACCTGGAGATGGAAACTTCACTCTATCAATCACAAACCAGCTCAGAGGTAGTTTTCTGAAAATACACAATATCTGCAGTTTATTTTTCAGTTTGGTTTGGGGAGGGGCAGGGGTTGTTCAAGCACAGACTTTTTTCTTAGACATGCATTCCATGGACAACTCAGGGCAGAGAGTCTCTAGTCCTTCACCAGCCGATAGATGTGATGTTGGGCACCGTGGTCACTAGTCGATACTTCAAAAACATATGCTATGCACAGCAAGGTCTCCTGTGTGTCCCTGTTTGTCACAACCTAGACAGAAAAGGAGAAGAAGCTGAAATGGCAACTGCTATTTCTCTGCTTACATGTTCCAACACTTTTAACATAAAACAGAGGGTCAGTAATAGACAAAGAATAGAGAAGTGCAGGATCAATACACAGCTTGGCTCACAAACCAGAACACTTTTGCATCCTCAGAACCACAATGCAGTGAAGAGACAGGGAGATGATGAAAAGTCCACCATGAGGAAAAGTCCACTGTGACCAAGCAGTGATCACATCATAAAACGCAGGTTCTCTACTTCCCACCCTGGTTTTGCAGAGGGAAAGTGTTTCACACACAAAAAAAAAAAGCTCTTTTTGTTATGTTTGTTTGGCATAGAGAGACCACCCTCCTGTGGCACACACACTCCTGTTCACACATATATTGATATATCACAGCCACAAACAGTTGTTTTCCTTCTTCTGCTCTTGCTTGTCAATGGTAGACACAGAACATGAGGATTAAAGAGTATATCTGCTTTTACAGGAGACTTACAGATTTGACTCCATTACACCTCCCATTCCATACACTGTAGATGTTGGGAGAAGGAGGGCTGCTACACACATGCATTCTTACAGAAGCTCCTTTTTTCCAATGTTTTTTCTATGGCCTCTCAGGACCCTTTAGTGTCTCTACAACATGACAGCAGCATGGTGAAGGAGCAGTGTTGTCCTAGTTTCTGCAGCATGCACTAGGTGGCACAGACAAGAGAAATATTGCTCTCAGAACTCCTAGCTCAGCTTCTCTCTCTCTGTCACTGCACAACTTTGCAAATCCTTGTCATTTGAGTTTGTGCCATAGCTAAAGTTCTCTCCTGCTGGAGGAGACAGATTTTTATCAGCAGCAGCACAAACTCAACTGCAGAAGAAAACCATTCCAGCTGGAGGCTTGCACTGTTCCAAAGCCCATTGTTCTTGTGAAAACAGGGGAAAAATAGCTGTTTTCAAACTTTGTTATTCATTTTAGCAGTCTGATTTTGGTCTATTCTGTTTTCTTTTCTTACTTCATGAGTGGATTTGCAGTTGAAGTCCTTCTGCAAGACCCAGAACATCCAGGTGTGCTAAGGCACTGGGCCCTTTTCTGAAAAATGAGTTTTCTGAAATCTTGGCGTTCTAGATCCAGAGAAATGTGCAAAGCAAAGATAAATGATGCTTGTGGGATTAGGGGTACCTAAGCTCATAAAAGGGTTTAGAAAAAAATATAATTAGACTTGCCTCAAAGGTGGTAGTGGGGACTGAGGACTACCAACATGCCTTACATTATGCATTTTTCAGCTCCACGGTGGGGAGTGGGGAATGCTCAGGCTGCTGCTCAGGGAGCAGCAGTTTCATCTTGCACAGTACTGCAAAGGTAGTATGTGCCAGCACCCATATGGGACATGCCATCAGTGTCAGAAGACAAGGGAAGGACTTGAGATTTCTCAGAACATAAAGCCCCCGAGGAAGTATAACCATGTGACAGTTTTTTTCTTAGAATTTATAGGAAATGAGGAAATTCCTGACTGAGGAATGAAACACGCAGAAGGCAGCTACAATGCTGCCCAGAATGGATTACAGCACACAGGTCTTCCATCTGTCTCTGCCCCTCTCATGCTTTTGCTCATCTAAAAGAACTCTCAGCATTTACACTCTTCATTTCTTCCAGATGTTTAAGATCTTAATACAAGCATGAAAGAGTAAACTTAATGCCCTGTGATGTATATTATTAACCTCGTGTTTTATAGCTGATGTGTCTGAGCCACAGCAGTGAAATGAGTTGCCTGCAGTTATTCAAGATCTTCAGAGAATGGAATGAAAACCACTTTGATTTCCAGTCTTTCATACAGCCACCAGCATCTCTTCTACTAGCCCAGCCTCACATTCTCTAGGCAAAGATCTATGATGCCTCTTACAGAGGTGAACACAGAATTCAGTCCATTAGAAAAATCCAGCTTTTAAGCTGTTTGCCCCCTTCCCAAATTTAGGCTGCATCTGAGCCTGGAAAGATGTTGGGAGTATAACAAAACTGGAAATGGAAATCTAATTGCTGTAGCCTTATAATTCTGACTTATCTAGAGATTGCAGTGTTTCAGAAGGTGTCACAGAGCTTCCCCACAACATACCTCTTCCTTTGCATGTCTCTGTACAGGTCCCAGATGGTCCTGAGGAAACTACTTTCTTTCTCCCCTAATATTGTCAGTGAAGAACTATTCCCACAGAAAAAATTTATAGCAACCCAAAAGTGCCCTTGTGTGTTTTTTACCTTGTAAAAAGGGCCAGGGCACAGAAAAGACCTCAATATTTGTGAAATAGTGGTATGAGCATTTCCTTCACTGACTTTTTCATCTTTCCTTTGTCCTTTCACTGTTCCTTTGTCTCTCTGCCTCATGAGCTCTTCCTTTTTCTTTTTATTTCTCTCTTACCCAGGTCTCTCAAATCCTTTTGCTGCTCCTCTGCATGAGTTATTATCTCTAGAACTCCATAAATGGTCTTGAAGTGCAATACACATGAAAGACAGAAAGTTCAATTAGATGCTGAGCTATAAAAGGAAATCTGCTTTGGCTCTCAACAGTGAACTCCTGAATGGTGCTTACATGTTGCCAAGTTGCAATGGAAACAACTGAAATTCCTACCTGTAAGATAGTGAAGTTCTCCAGCACACTGTTCATCATGTACTTCTCGGGAAGGTGCTTGAGTTTATGGATGAAGTTGATCATGTATTCGCAGAGAGGGGAGCGGTGGATGCGGTAGGAATAGTGTCCATTTTCATAGCGTGCATACTCTGTCTGCAAGGCAAAACACAAAAAGGGGCTCAGAACAGAAAAATTACAGTGGCACTGTAATTTTATAAACAGTGACCACAGTGCTTTTCACCAAGGTCAGTCCCCTTGAGTCCTCCAAGTTCTTTGACTTGATTTCTTGTTTTCTTTAGAATGGTGGTACTGTGCAAGATGAAAGTGCTGCTCCCTGAGCAGCAAACCCTCAAAGCACTGCGGAAGGTAACTAAGAGGAACAGACCATTTGACACCTACACTACAGTCTGCATCTCTACCGGAAAAATACTAGGTGTGAATAAACTGAAAAAGTTTATAACTACTGTTTTAGCAAGACCAGGAAGTAATGATAGTAATACTATGCTCAGGATGTTTTATAGGTAAAAAAGACTAAAGCCTTCTGGTACCTGTGTGAGAGAACATAGAATTTATGCTCCCCACTTAGGAAAGAGTCTGGCCAATGATAGACACAGGGATTTTTTTGCTCACATTCACACCTTAGCTCATGTATATTTTATCTGTCTTTGAGGAGAAACTGAGGCCATATTCTATGATTTCACACCAGACCCTTAAATGCCTGTAACCTTCTTTCACCCCAGAAGCTTGGTCTTCTTTCATGTGCACCATAACACCTTCCTTTAGCCCCTCTATCCCTTTGCAAATACTTAACCCAACTTCAGGCATGTTATGCCTGTCATGTGACTGGAGATGGGTTTTGGGGAAGGATGCACCTTGAACTGGCTGCTGACATGAGAACACCTGGTGCTCTGCACATAGATGCTTCTGCATCCTAAGGTTCCTTGAGAAACAGGACAGCAGGAGGCATGTCAAAGCAGCTCTCTTAGCAGCTGAATGTGGAATCAAACAGAATTTCTTCAGCGCCTGTTCTATGCATAACCCAGTTATTTGCAGTTGCTCAAGCTGAAGTGTATAAGCTCCAAGTCTAATAAAACTGTTAAGACTATAGTCTGTAAATTACTACAGTCAAATTAATAGCTATAGTCTATAAATGATCTGTTTAAAAACACTGGTGAGAGTGAGGTGTTGCTTATATGTTTTCACATTTCTGGACTATAAAACACATCTATGTTCCCTAGCTTTCATTTGCTTCCCAAAAAACCCCAGAGAACTGGCAGAGCTAAGAGTTGTGCATATTTACATCTCCTCAGAAACTGAGATTTAAGGGAAAAGTAGCAAACACAAGCAGACCTTCAGCGAAATCCTAAGACAGCCATTTTGCAGGCTGAGTGATCTTATATCTATGGCATCCATCTCCCTGACAAGAAGCATGAGATATATTTTGCCTTGAGATACAAAATACTTGAAGTGACAAAATGGCAGCCAGAGGGAACCTTGCACCCAGGTGTCTGCTCCTTACCTCTACTTTCTCTACCACCTGCTTTCCAAAGGAACACACTTTGGTGGAACAGGTAATGACCATGTTTTCTGGGCTCTCATACTGGCTGGAAACACCATAGAAAGATCTGGATTCATCTTCAATATTGGTATTTAAATCAGCCTGCCAAGAAAAAGAACAAAAAAAAAAAAAAAAAAAAAAATGTTATTAATAGATGGTTGTGGCATTTTCTCACCATTACCTCCCCAGCTCCTTAAGCAGACCAATGTGTGGGAGCAAGCGGGAGAAATCTGCAGAGTATTGAATAAAATCCTACTTCCACTTCAGAAAATGGTGTGGATTTGCATACACATTGAGAAAATCTGGTGGAATATCCTCCTAACATGAAAAACATAACACAGTTGAGGTACTCACAAAGCATGGGGAGAGCAGACTGCAGAGACAGAGCAGTGCAACAGACAGGTTAGACTGGGCTGACTCACCAAGGAAGGAAAATAATGGTAAAGCAACAGTAATAAAGTTTTTCCACCCTAAGAACATAGTAAGGGAAAAGAGACAGCAGAGAAAAGGAATGTGTGAGTACACACATATATCAGGCTCAGGTACTACAAATGTAAATAGACAGGATGCAACATAAGGAATGTAGGCTACTGGTGGATCTAGCCGAGTTACACCTGAATTCAAACCCATCTCCAGTAGCAGCCACAGTTTTCAAATGTGGGTGCCTAAGGCTGGCCAAACAAAGTCTCCTGTTGGGACAGAACTCATAAAAATCCTGGCTGTCTGAAGCTTCCACCAGGGGTCATTCCAACCACAGTTATGAAACAAGTGGCTGTTCCCTTAAGCTCTAGAAACACTACAGGTGTGTGGGAATGCCCAGCTCAGCTCCTTCCCCTTCAAAACTGAAAGGGCAGAGCTTCTCTGTGCTCCACAAGCCCATGTGTTAATTTACATCAGCAAAAGGCAAGGATCAGGTCCCACAAGCTGCTCCAGAGCTTTTTATTCTTCCTGCTGAGCTAAGGGAAGAGAAAACTGAAGAAAATGTGTTCCTCCTACAGTGAACACAGTGTGACTAAGACAGCATTAGATGCCCTTCTAGCAGGGTTTTCCTAACTAATGTCAATGAAGAGTTTTTATTTGAGACCTAGACCAGCACTAAGGACAAGCAATGTGGTAGAACTGGACCACCACAGTAATGAATGCCCCTCTTTCTTTGCCATGCAAAATAACTGTCTCTTAAGGGCCATGAGATAATAAATACTGTTAACTTAGTTGTCTTAAGGAGCAACTTCACAAAAGGTTTAGGTCAGTCTAGAAAGCGACAGTCAAGTTTTCTCCCCTTCTGTAGACACGTGAGCTTGCTGCTGCCTTTGTGGCACCACAGAAGAAGAGACACAAAGCATGCCTATTTTCATAGTAACATATACTTGTCTCTTGAGGAACTGCACCTCAGAGTTGTAGTTTGATGATGCCAGGCTGGTCCTGACCCCAAGTGAGAGCGGTCTCAGTCTTCCAGAGCAGTTTGTCCTTCCCCATTCCTGCTGTACTGACACACATCTCTGTGGCTGTATTACAAGGGTCACTGAGGAATTGCTCAGTTAGTTCTCAGTGGGATCAGTTCCCTGGCCTGATTCAGAAACACCTGTGTGTGTTCAAACAAAGAATGTGTTGGGAGGATGGGCGGCAGCAGGGATAGCAGAAGGCAGGACAGCTTATTCCTATGGCTATGCTGAAGACCTCAGTATTAAATAACTGTAGTTATGCAGCTACTTTCGTTGTACCACAAATGTACCTGTATTAGAGAATAGCAGTATTACTCCATTCTGGTTTAAGTTTTTACTAAGTTACTGTAATACTGCAATACTCACTTCCATGTCAATGCCATCAACTGTATCGTTTATTTCACCCACACTCCAACTTTCTAAATAAAGATTAACTTCTTCCCTTGTCCAAAGAGGAACTAGACTAGGAGTCCTTCACAATATTTTTCTGCTATTTCCCTTGGGAGTGATAAACACAATGTATGGACTTGATTCTGCTCTTCCAAAGAAATTCTCCCACTGAATCAAAAAGAACAAAGGGTCAAGGCTACAGAAGCTTGGTCAGGCCACCGCTACATAAACACAGCAGAGGCTCACATTGCAGAACCAAACAAACATTTTCAGGGTCTCACTAGTAAAGTTAAGGCTACATTCTCCAAAAGACTCACTGGTAAAATTAGAAATTAAATACACTCAATAAGAAGCAAAGCAGAAAGATGCTAGGTCCACTTAATGAGAAAAGCTTCACTAGCCCTAAGAAGCCACTCTAGGTGCATCCGCAGTTTGACAAACCTCCCATCAGAAGGCCAGACTAGAATTTCACAGCCAATTAACATCAAATTAATCAATATTAATGGCAAAACTATGGTAATATACCGTTTGAATTAAGGAGCTGTCACCATTCATTGACACTAGGTACAATCAGGTACCTGGAAGCCCTGTTGCAGTGGAGCAGCAGGATCATTTTGGAACTCCCTCACATTTACACTGCACATTTTATTCTAAAGCTTGTCCCATATTATGGGCTAGGACAGTCAGACATGGAGTGATCAGTCACCAGGACTTGTGTACCCACCTCCTGTCACCTTTGCAGATCTCATAAACATACATACAGGGAATTTCAGCAACTCCAGGGAATGACAGTAGCAGTTTGCTGAGAGCTTCAGTTCATTTGCCAGAGAATGCAGCTGCAGACACTGCTGGCCATAGAGTTACAGCTTTTTCCCTTATTTACAGCTGCTGGTTCCCACCTTCTTAAGGAAGGCACTGGCCACTGTACCAGAGATTATTTAGCACACACATATCTGCTCCTGAACTATTTGCAATCTGGTTCATACATGTGAACTGAAAATAGCAATGCTATACATGAATACAAGACCAAGAAACAACTGAGGAGTGGAACTCCAATCTCTTAGCTTTCCCTGCTGTGGAGATTATTACCTCCTGAAGGGAGACAAAGACAGAAAATTGAGGAAGAACACTGTAATCTGCCATAGCCAAACTAACTTCTAAATGCCAACAGGACACTGGGGTAATTCACGAAAGGATGCAGTTAAAACTTCTCAGGATTGCATGACGACAAGACCATAATGACCAAAAGAGCTACTGCATTTAGCTTAATATCTAAAAACACTATGGCCTTCATGCCTAGATTCCTATGAGCTCCTCACAACACCTAGACCATCAGGACTACGTCGCTTCTCTAAAAAAAACCTTGTGTCAAAGCACATCCAGTCCTGGAGTGAGCACCCAAGAGCATAGACAGGTCTGACTGTGTCTTACTGTGTCTAGTACATTCTAGTACATTCTGAAAAGATGCAAGGAAATAATAGTGACTATGATTCAAAGGAAATTCATCTACGGAGAATTCCATCAAGCAGGAGAGCTAATCTTCACTTTATAGTCTGGGAATGTATAGAATTTTTTAATATGTAACTGGATGTGACTAGAACCCGGGTGCCTCAACTCCTCTCTGGCAAATGCCCTAGTATGTCCAACAACAAGTGAGATGAGTCTTAAATACCTTCCTTACCCCAGCCTAGGCAGCGAAAGGAGACATAGGCAGGATTTAGGAAAGTCTCACTGAGGGGGCTGAGCTGCCTGGCCCTCCAGGCTCCTACTTGCCACTGCTAGAACAGGATGGGACTGCGGGGGCAGCAGCAGCAGCATTCAGGCTTTTGGGTGGTGTCCAGCATTTAAACACCTGTTCTCAGTCTCTTTTACAGGCAAAGGTAGAAGATCAAATAAATCAGGCATGTTACAAGCTAAATCTGAATAATGAGCCACCAAATGGAGCATACTACTTTTTCTAAAAAAGTCAGAGCTCTTGCTTTCTGTCCCAGAAGTTCCAGATGCAAAACCTGAGCACACTCTGGCATAGCAGAAATCTGATGTGTTCAGCTTGCTGTGCAAGCTCTGCACAGATGACACACTTATCCATAGCTTGCCCAATGACTTCCAAATGTGCTGAAACTACAGTCACTGAGGTATCTGCGATACAGCACTTCCCAGATATTCATATACTGCATGCAAGAGTGAATCTGCCTGCTTGGGGGAAAACATCTACCATTTCTTCCTTTCCAGAGAAGCAAGCAAAATGTTTAATTACCTACAAGACAAAATTTCTAGATGGAAAAGAAGGGATTTGTTCTGGGAAGAGCATAGTAGCCCTCTACGAGTTAATATGCTCCTCCCTCCCCTCCATCTCTGGAAAAGATTATTTGAAAATTCCTCAGCAATTCAATCTTTCAATCTGCCTTTTGCTGCTATTAATTTCTACACTGTTGAATACTGTAGGGGACAACTTTGTTGGAAGAAGTGCCATTGCCAGAGTCCCCTTACATAAGGCAGCAACTGGAGGTGGTGCTGGTGATGGCAGGTGAAATTAATGTGTGTAAAAATCATAAAATTCTCTGTTTCTAGCTGCTGTCTTGTTTGATGCCTGAGGAATAACAAGAACAGAATGGATGTGGAGACCAAATTGCCATCTCTTGCTCTCCAGACAGTGTCATGATTGAAAGCATCTAGTGGGCAAGGCAGGGTGCTAAGGGCAATTTGCACTGCTGCTGTTTTGACTGGATTTGCTTATGACAGGAGAGAAGCCAAGTGCAGGACAGCAGTTTCCAGCCCATCCCTTCAGCACTTTCCCACAAAAGATTATTCCATTTAGCTGAAAGAAGACGCTCAGTGATTTGACTGCCTACCACCAAGAATTACTACATACATTCTTCACAGGCAGGACAGGGCTCCCAAGAAATTCCCCTGATTCATGTCTCTGCAGATGGTTGCCTTGTGCAAAGTACTACCTGTCCTAAATTCCTGGTTTGTCATTTTTCTTCTGTCTTCCATGCAGAGTCTCACAACTTCTGGAAGCTCCAAGATGCAAGTGCACCATTTCTACTAATGTGCAAAGCCCTGAGAACGCCTCTTCCCCAAACTATTAATAACGATCCATATAGGAGGAGTACATGGGGAGAAGCGAGGAACAGGTGGCAGAGATAATATTAGCCTGGAAAAGAGCAGGGCTGCCACTGCCCATGTGTTGGGAGGCTGATGTCTCACATTCATTGTCGTGTGCTAGAATGCACTTGGAGCACAGAGTAATGTCACGCAGATGTCATACACAACTTGCCAACCCAAGTCCAAAAATGAGTTCATTGTACCAAATTCCCAATTCCAAAATCAAGGAAGAATTGCAAACACTGCAACACTCCTTATGTTTCAAACTCATTAACTTTGAGCTATTGTATAGATCATTTAAAGCACCTTTGAACAAACAGAAACATCTCTTTCTCAGTCACACTAGATCCTCGGTCCCCCCTGTGGTCAGGAAACCTCAACCCTGGTGTTTAGAATTAGGCCTCTGGTACAAAACCAATCATCTGGCATACTCAATGACATTACTGTAGCAATGGCAGGTTCATACCTCAGGTTCTTCAAGCCTAAAACTGCAGATACACAACCCCAGCTTACTCATTCCTTGTTTTTTTAAAAGTCTTTGTCACCTGCAACCACAGCTTCAACTCAGAACCTCTGAAAAATCAATCATATCTTCATGTCTCAAAGCATCCCTTCAAGTATTTAATTCTACTCACCATTTTATCCTAAAATGATGCTATAAATTCAAGAGCATAGTAATTCCTTTATCCAATACATCTTTGAACATCAACAGTATATTTGCATACTTCTCCAGAGCTATCAGGCAGCAAAATGAAAAAGCACTCTAGCACACACTGCTACAAAAGTAAGAAAATGCAGAAGGATATGAAAATTTCTACTGAAATCTAGTTTTCTTCCTTTTTTAGTTTTAATCATGCTGTAATATTGCCACCAATAAAACCTGATGTTAACTCCAGATGGGATTCAACGATGCAAGGGTACCAAAAAAAGTATCAGACAGTCAAAATATTAAGCCAAGACCAGAAATATTTCTGTCCTCATAAGTATAGAGCTGCAGAGCCCCACAACATTGTGCACACATTGGAGTAAAGCTGTTTCGAATCCTATGCCACATCTTTTTAATTAAGCCAAATTCATATGAGCTGATACCCTCTGAACACCAGACATCTCATGTGGGAACAGAAAAAAAACCCAATTTGATGACATGCCACCATCTAAATCTTTCAAAACCCTGACAGAGGTTGGTCTGACATGGTGCATAGGCCACATTTATACTTCTGATATTAAAAACAAAGTTATCACAATCCTCAAACTGAACCACAAAAGCAGAAAAGCACACTGTCAATTTTAATAAATAAAATCACAGTTGCATCATATCACAATTTCATAATTTCTCTCTCTCTTCAAGTCACAAAGTGTTTCATTCTCTCTATGTTACATCTACCTCTAAGCTGTTCCTTTTGGTTCTTGAAACTTCCAAAGCACAAAAGGCAATCAATACCTTTCAAAGGGTGCCCTGTCAAAGGATAAGCTTCTCAGCCAGGTGCTGTTTTCTCTCCCAGCCAGAACAGAGTTTATCTTCCACCTTTTGTCTTGAACACCTCAGGCAGGCTTTGTTGTACTTTGCCAGGAGCTAATCCCATGAAGGGCCCAGCTCAGCAGCACAGAGACTGCAGATAAAAAAATTATGTGTCCCCAGAAATCATCAGCAACCAAAACTCTAGGCAGGCACTTGAGAAGAAGACTCCCGGCCAACATTCTCCAACTCATTTCTGGAAAGGCTAGGCTTGTGACAGCTGGGAAGCTGCATCTCAAGGTACTTAACTCTTCCTTCTGAAAGCACCAGTCAGAGGAGGCTCTCTAGTGCCACTTTGTATAAAGGGAATGAAATATAAAAGCTCATTTTTCATCATCTCACTCTGACTTGAGGTTGAATGATGTGGTAAACTCAAGGTGAAAGGCTCCAAATCCCATTACACATTCCCTCAGCCATCTACTGCACAACTGCCCTGAGCTACTATTATTTTTAATTTCATAATTCTTATGATAATATCAATCACCAAAGCTATTTTGTTTGTACCTTGAAGCACAATGGCACAGTTTTTACAAATTTCAGTTAAATCACAAAAATCCAAATTGAGTGAGTAAGCTTTTGCCAGGCTGATTTCTACCAATTTACCAGAAGTCATTTCAGTAATATATTATCAGCATAATTCAATTTCATTATATTTTTCTCTTATCTTTTGCTCTGCCAGCAGTTAGTACGCATCTGCAAATTATTAGTACTTGGATAACAAAAAATGCAGCTACAAAGACAGGAGAAGAGATGGAAAAGTATTGCTTCTGGCTGAGGAGTTACACAACACTGAGAGAAGAGAATACATAAGAGTATACAGAGAATAATTCCCTCTGAATTCTTTACTTATACATGAATAAAAATTCCAGAGAGTCCAAGTCACCATTAGCAATTCTGCAGACAGTAGTAGTCAAGAACAATTCTACAGATGGACAATGTGAAAGATACATCTTGCTGCAGGCCAGAAAGTGTGCCTTGTGGGGTCAAGGAAAGATCTTGTGGAGTCAAGAAAAGTGACAGTTGTGGCTGCATTAAGTTGCCTACATGGGGAAAAATTTGTTGGGAGGCAGCAGTTTTCTAACAGCCAGGGAGGTCACAGCTTTAAAAGTGACAAACTTCATAGCAAATGGGTACCCTACAAAGAGCCCTTCTCTTACCCAGAATTTGACAAGGAAGAAGGCATTAGCTGGCCCCCTTTCAAAGAGCTCCTTCAGGCCCCCTTTCTTCTCAGGGAACTTGTCATAGATCTGCCGGATATCCACTGCCTCGAGGTAGGGGTCATTGTAGCTGGGGCTTGACTGCCCAATGTGCACAAACAGGTGTTTGTTATACTGCAAAAAGAGGAAAAATATGGGATAAGAAAACAGTTCAGTATCATTCAGTACATACTGAACATCCATTGCCCTTCAAAGAAGACAACTGGAAGTCAATGAAGATAGCATTTTCTAAAACAGCAGAAGAAATCAATAGAAATATCTCTGCTAATATGAGTTCATGCTGTTCTTTCCTTCCTGTCAGTACATTCATGCTTCTTCCTTCTCTGAAACACTGTTGTTGGATTTTTTTCTTCCTATATTCACTCCTAAATCATTGCCTCATGCTGCTGCCATATAGTCTGAAATAACCTGAAACACAGAGTGTTACCTGTGACAGGTCATTCAGTCAAACATTGATGCTCCTGTCTTATGAAGAGCCTGAAATCCCACAGCAAATAAATACCAGGCAAATAATACTATCTTTTCTGGACTTTCCTATCTCAGCCCATCACCAGAGCACATCTCAAGATGCAGAATCAAAAGGTTTAGTGAGAGAGGCAAATCTTACTACTTCCATTTCATAGGTGGCACTGTGGAAACACAAAACTGATGCAAATTCATCACAGTTACCACCAATTTTAAGTTCTCCAATTTTAAGCACACCAGAGAAATACATGGATTTATGTGATCCTAACAACTTCTGATTTTGGGTTCTATATTTGAGTCTATCTTACAAGGATGGACAGGACAGCCAGAATAGCCTGGCAGGGGCTTATGACCTCAGTGCCTTGGGCTCTGGTGTTTGAATGCCCATGACCCTGGACAGGGAAGCCAGAAGCACATTGCACAGACCTGGTTCTATCACTGCTTATCCTCTAAGAGGAGGACATCTGGTGTTTCCCAAAGATGCCTTTCTATTCTCTGAAGAGCAACGAAGCAAGTATTTCCATACACATAGAGTAGTATAATACATCCATGATGAACAGGAACTGTCCGAAGATGCAAAATTAATGAGGGGTGGAAGCAAGGTGTGTTTCTTACTGTGTCTTGGTCTTGTTGTTGTTCCAAGAATGCAGAGAACTCTAACATCCAAAGTTTGGAGCTAGCAACCCTTCGTCCTTGCCAAGCTGGTGCTGATGGGGAAGGTGAGAGGCCAGTAGGAGATTCAAACCCTAAGCACACAGGATTTATATAACAATAATTCAGAAAAAAATGGCAATGGCTTTCCAGCAGAACACCTACTGTCAAAGCTGACTCATAGTTGTCTTATGGCTTCATTCATCATGCAAAAATATCATTCACAAGGTCCTCAGTCTACCTGTGCTCTAAATGCCTTGCCAGTCTCCCTCTGCTAAGACAGCACTGCCCGGGGTCATGATATAAGAGACAAACTACCTGGGTTTGATACCAGAGAAAACATGTTCAGCAATTTTAAGAAGACTTAGACAGAGCCCTAAATGAGCAGTGAAATAAACTGTTTAGTATCAGAATGAGGTGTCACCATTAATCTCTCAAAATGGGGAAGCTGAAAAGGAAAAGACATTTGTTATTCCACTTAATGAGAAATTAGGAACACAATCATGTTATGACAAAGAACAGCATTCTAGATTATGAAGCATGGTGGAAGACCAGTAGAGATACGTAAACTTTTATTCTCTGCTGAGCCAAGAAGAAAAAAACCCCAACACAACCAATATAAAACAGGAAGAAGACAAAATTTACACGCTTCAGCTCTTTAAATAAAAGGATGAGAACAGGTAATAAAAGGAAATAATATAAAAATTGGTTTTGGCTCTTTGAAATGTTTCAATAGGTTTTGTTTTTTTAAATTAACTTTCAAGATTTTTAGAGTGCTGGCTGTTTTTGAACTTGGAATACAATTTCACAGGAAGGAAGTACATTTCCTTACCTACCTGGTATTGGAAGCGGAGGCTGTACAGCATAAGGTTGTTGAGAAAAAGGTTTCACGCTGCAGAAGTACACAAAGAGAGGTGGTTAATAAAAACCCAACCAAACAAAAAATATTCTTCATTGACTGTTTGCTCCTCAGGGAGAAAGTGGCATGAGTGTCTTTTGAAACTTATCTTTCTGTGTGGGCAAGAAAAGGGCCATGGGCGAAGATTCAGAAAGCAGTAAGAGGCCAGGACTGGACAGATTAAGATTTCAGCAGGTGTTCAGCAGGCCCTCCCTCCAGATTTGTTTTTCTGAGATCCCTACAAGCCTCTTAATACACCGGTGCCCATTTATTTATCCTTTCCTTTCAACTACAAGTAGTTTTATATCTATGCAAGTGGATACAGATCTGGGCTGGATGCCACTCAGACTTTCAGGCCCAAATTCAGACACATTCAACATCCACAAGTAAACACAGGTTTCAGGAGAGCTCAGCTCCATTTTAACACTACTGTAAGAAAAATTAAGGTCTTTGCATTTCACAAATCTTGTAATAGCTAATGATGTTCCTCAGGCAGCAGAAAAAGCAGCAGAAGCACCTACTCTGGATGCTCACATGAAGGAATACTTACTCTTGGGAAGATCCAGCTTGGCCTGGCAATGGTCCTTGCCAAAACTGCAAGAGAACAACACATAGGTAGAAGTCACCACTCTTAGGACAGACATGAAAAGGAGGGCTTGCTCTTTTGCTCTTTTCTGAATAAACAAACTGCAAGCTCACAGACCTTTAAAGATGTGAATGAGTTCTCTCTTCTTTTTACATTCCTGGTTTCATTCTTGTGGAGATGCTGGCTGTTTTTTTGGTTTTTTGTTTTTTTTTTTTTTAATTCTATACACTACTAGTAATGATATACAAAAAAACTGACCCAAAAGTGATCTTTAATGTTAAAAATTACGCATGCACCTTGTGCTTTGTTTCCAAAACTTTTGTGATGCTCACTCTCTTGGAAGGACCATTTTCCCCAGGAAAGTTCTACGGGAGTTATTTTGGCAGAAATCAATACTTAGCAAATGCTCACTAAGCCCATCTCATAGGTACAGGGATGCTGACAGGCCCTTCTCTATTAAGGATTTTATGTAAGGGCCATCTGATCAAAATGCTGAGAATAAGACTGGGAAATACAAACTTGAAAAAGGGTCAGGATGGCCCAAACAGATTTATTCCAAAAAGATGCTGGACTAAGAAAGTGATACAAAAATCCAAAGGAACTGAGTGTTCTCTCCCTTGTATCATCAAAAAAAATATACATAGTAAAACTCTGTTGTTTTACGTCAGTGTGAGCAAAGAATTGGACAAAACTGTCAAAGCCACATGACAGATTTATTCTACAGACACAATGCCTTTTGGCCCATTCTGTCTCAGTTCTCAGGACTTTCCTGAGCAGGTCCCAACATCCTTTCAAATAGTCAAGTGTCTTCTCAAAATTCCACCAAGGCACTGATCCACTCACCCCAGAAACAGCAGGGTAGGCTGGTCGTGGGAGACCAGGCAAGGCCATTTTACTATGGAAGGCAGTTGCAGAGATAATCTGGGCAGATGACATTGTAGCCATACTCTGCATGGCTTTATCTTTTGCTGCCTGATCCTATGAGCAAGAATAGAAACAGAAAAAACAGGATTATTATAATGATTAACTACTTGCCAGCTCTAATGGTCTATAACCAGAATTCTCATCAGATTGTGTGTCAGGAATAAGCATCTCTGAAATTCTGGGTAGCAAACTCACCAATAACTGTCCTAAGAACTCTTTAAAGCTGTAAGGCTATGACTCATTACTATAGCTTCAGATGTGAATAGTCATGCTTTCTGAAATGCGGGTTTAAAGACTGCTAAGCATTTATCCTTTCTGTCTGAGGGCTTTCAACCACACAGCTGAAAAGCTTTGCTGTGGAACGTACACCTCTAGCTGACTTGTGTTTTAATAATTGGTAAGAATATTCAATGGGAAAGATTCTTGATTACAAAAAAAAAAAAAAAAAAAAAAACCTCTGAGGAAAAGGTCTCTTTTTAGATCGTCATCATCACCGCAGAAATGACTACCTCAAACTGGGACTGCATTAGTCTTAGGTAGAGTTTATAATTTTATTCTCATCTTCAGGGAAACTTGAAACCTTCATAATCTCCAAGGCACATATGCAGGGATGCTCCTTTTTGTATTTTAACAGAACTGTAGATTTTACACACATTCCTACAGGCAATGACAGCACAGTCTGAAGTATATATAAAACAAACAGCATTCTTAATTTCTTCTTTCAGGACTAAATAGGCAAACAGAAGCACTTATATTTTGCCTTTCCTCCTACATCCCCTACAATTAATCTTAATCTTTCAAACATTCCACATTTATCTGTGTCATTATAATTACCACGGAAAACTCACAGATTAATTCATGACTTGAAGAAACTGCTGAAAGAGGTACAACAGCCCTCGCTGTCTTCTTCAGGAATTCTCACTTCCCACGTGCATTCACTGAACTGCAATAAGTTCACACCCTTGGGCCTCCATTCTTTCTAACTTCTCCAACTTATCTAAGGTTCTCTAAAGTTCAAACCCCAAATATCCTAATTTGTCTAACCAAAAAAAAAAAAAGTGGAGGAGGCATCTTCAAAAATCTCAATAATAAATGTTACTATTCAAGTGGAGTGATCAGTAGAAATGGGCAAAACTTACACCTCTTCTTTTTTACAGCATCTGTGACTCCCGTCAGTGCCATGCAAGTGAATGGAAGGGAAGCATTTTAAATGTTGAGGAAGTTCTTAATATTCTCCAAAGCTATGGGAAATGTTTTCAGAATCCAGTTTAAATTATGCCTTAGGGAATAACTGAAGGATAACCGACACTTTTTAAGGGAAATAATTATTTTCTGTTTTTTTTCTTAATATATATATAAAGACTATTTCCCATGTGCCATTCCAGAAAAGGATTTTTTTCCTTCCCTTATTTTCTCACTGGAAAAATTGTATTTGTCTACCTCAGTTTATGGGGAAGATGCATTTACTTGTGGAGGTATTTCAAGTCAAAAAAAAAGTAAAATAATGAGGGAAGAAAAGTATTTTACCTATTAACATCTGCTATATTTTTGTTTTGTTTAAATGCTTGATAAACTGCTGGAAAGAGCATGTTTTTAGAAAAGACATCTTTCTGTTTCAGTTCTATACTAACTTCAAGTGTTTCCCAGTATAAAAAGAAAAAAGAAGAAAAAAAAAGGAAAAAAGGAGCGATAGAAACTTTGACCAAACATTTGCAATGTTTGTATTTTCTTTTATTATTCTTAAAACACATAATAATGATGATGGTGATTATGATGGTGATGATGATACCATCACATCACCACAATTTCCCACTTTTTTCCTTAGTGCAGATGATATTTATTAGCCAGTCAGAGCATGGAAAAACTACTGACTTTTGGGAACAGAGTTTTCTGAAGTTTTACCCTATTTCCCAGCTGTATCTTTTACAGACACAGTCGGCATTTAAAAAAGACACTCCAGTTTGTGTGGAGGTGGAATTATTGCAGTCACTACTCTGAAAAGTCATCATGTAGCTGCTCTGATCACTAGGATATAAACACAAAAATGTGCACTTGCTATGGAAAATGAGCAGTGATAGGGGAGCACACAGCTGTCAGCAGGACCCTGGAGGAAGGGCAGCAGTTTCTGTGATTTCATTTCCTTTCTCTATGGAAATGGCCAGCGAAAGCAAAGAAGCAAATGAGTTGAATCAGTGCTCTCGACCTGCCACTGCAGGCAGAAAGAACAGCCTGGTCCTGGGGAAGGGCTCTCTGCAGGCAGCTGGGCAGAGCTCACAGCATGGCCTGGGTGGTGTAAAAGGACAGCAGCCAATGGCTCCATGGAGCTCCCCGAGACACCTTGGTTCCCTGAGAACAAAACCAGCCAGCTCCCGTCAGCTAAGTGGAAGCAGGCTCGGCTGACTGGCTTTTCAATCATGCTCAACCCCAGAGCTGTGACACACAAGGAACAGAATCAAGGTTACAGATGTAAGCAGCAGCGAGGCTTTTAACACCCTGGGCAGTTGTTGTTTCCTGCTTGTTCTGACTTGCCTCTCCAGCAGGCCTCCACCTGAATTGACCACTTAACAGCACCACGGGTTTCGAGCTTAGGCAGCCCTACCTGGGTGCACTGAATTAGATAGCTGTAATTTGTGCCTCCTTCTCTTTATCAGAGCAGCTGGAAACACAACAGGCTAATAAAAGACACAGCACAGCTTACTAAAATGGGGTTGGGATGTGGGGGGTGCTGCCATGGCTCAGAGGCAATCACCGCTTGCGACAGAGCTGCACGCACGTCAGCACTGGGCAGCTGAGTGCCAACAGCTCACACTCAGGACAGTCCATTTGCCCTGGTGCCCAGCGAGGAGCTGCCCAGGCAGCCAAGAGGAAGCACATGCTAACATCCATGCCTCAGCAGTCAGGGCTGGGCTGTCACAGTTATTGTCACCTGAAGCATGGAAAAGCAGGAAAGCAAACTCTCTTCCTTCCAGATTACTTAAGGCCATACCAAACAGAAAGGTCAGCATTCACCTTCCTTCTCTGGCTGTCTCAGTGAAACATAACAAGGCTCAGACCTCACATCCTGCTCAGCAAGCCCTTTCTGGATAGCTCACATTTTAACAGGGGACAGACACCCTCTTCTGCAATTGTCACATACAAACTTGACCTTCTCAACATTTCTGGCAATTCAGTCTGAGCACATAAACCATTTCCCCACATCAAATCTGAGTGGAAATAAATGTCAAGAGATTCATTAGGGTGATCTTGGAGCTTTACCTATGGAAAAGAAAACACAGCTCTTCTCAAGCAAGTATTCAACCATTTTCTCTTTCTCATTAGCTCCAGCCTCTTCAAATCAGGTCTGAATTAATCAAAGAGCGAAGTCTATTCAGTTGGCACCATTTTACCTGAGAAGATGACAGCTGGTTTTATTGCTTCCTCTCAGTGGACAACTCCATATCACCACCTCTAGGAAAGGTGGAGCTGGTGCTTTAATAACTGTAATGCCACCTTTTCCCAAGGCTACCACAACACCAGCAACTGTATGGTGTATGGTCAGCATTTGTAACCATAAACAATTCCTGCTCAGGTAAATGCTCTCTGTGCACTCCTAAGCCTAAGGGCCTTTCAGATTTGAATGACAACAGCATAAACCAGAGGTAGAAATAAGACACATGAAATTTAAAAAGTTATTGTTTCTTTATTCTTTAAATAGAATTGCTCCAGACGTCACAGAGCTTCAACAATAATGAATGTTTGCACAACATTTCCTGGGAAGAACCTTTTCCTCTCCAGCTTACTACAGTTCAGTGACTAATCTCGGGCTTTTTTAGGGCTATTCAAAGAGGGAATGGCTGACTTGGGGGGGCTTGTATGATATGCTAAGGGATATCCATCATACCTTGAGCTTGGCTTGGATCTCTCTAGCTTTCCGCCTTGCCAGGACCTGGATGTGACTAGATACCTGCATTGAAAGACAAAATTCCATGTTCATTCCAGAGGAATACTTGGTAGCCTCTTGTAGAATTAGGCAGTTATTAAGGGTTGGGGGTAGGAGGGCTTGGGGGTAACAAGGAGCTACTTTTCTGAACATAATTCAAGTGCTGTGAAATAGGTTGGAGGGCCTGTAAAGATGGGCTATCTAAGGTCTAGGCTGCTCAGTGCTTTGTCCAGCATAGCCTAGATATTCATTCCCAAATAACAAAGATTCCTTTTTCATCTCATGCACCAGGTATTTTCAAAATCATCATTGCTGCTTGGGCTGAGCAAGAAATCTTAATGCAGAGAACCACTGGAACACTCATTAGTAGGCCAAGCAAATAAAATCACACTACTTGACAGTACAAAAATTTGTCACTATATAATTGGCAGACAGGAGCATTATAAACCTGTAAAATGCATAAACTGACTCTTCCTGCTATTCTTACTAACCAGCTCAGCAGAACAACCTCCTTTCAGCAAAGTCGGAAACTACCAACAAGCGAACAGCAAGAAATTTGTTCTCATTGGTCCTCATAATCTCTAGAGGTCTAAAGGAGCTAATCCTTCCAAGGAAAACTGCATACTTACCTGTTTCCTTGTGCGTGTTTTCCCTGTTCTCAGCTTAATATAGCGGGCAATCAACTCATTTCGGCCTGGAACAGAGAAATAATGCAAATCCAAGTTTAGAAAGCAATGACCCCAGCGAAAAAGATAGATAATTCCATTTTTTATCTACAGAGATCAGCAGCAGATGAGTCTGTCACACTCCTTTCTTAGAAAAGAACTTACTAGTGCACATGGTAGAAGTCTGAGTTTTAGGAGCAGTCTCCTACAACATCCTCATAGACAAACTGACAAAGTTTGGGCTAAATAATTGGGCAAGGGGCCTAGTGAAAACTGGCTGAACGGATGGATGGGGTCCCAGTTGACAATGAGCTGACAGTGAGGCAGCAATGCACCCTTATGGCAAATCCCAGTTGCCAACAGGTCGAGAGAAGTGATCCTTCATCTCCACTCAGCACAGCTGAGAACTTGGAGAACCGAGTCCTGGTCTGGCCTCATCAGCATGATAGAGGTGTGAACACACTGGAGCAAATCCAGCAAGAAGTCAGCAAAAATTATTACGAGTAATAATTATTATTATGAATTATTATGATTATAATAATCATAATTATTATTATGAAGAGAGGCTGAGAGAACTGGGCCTGTTCAGTCTGGAGAGGACATAGGGGCAGTTTTTAATCAATAATAATAAAATAAATACCTGATGGGAGGCCATGAAAGGAAAAAGGGAGCTACCTCCTCTCAACAGTGCCCGGTGATAGAACAAGAAACAACTGACACAAATTAACACATGAAATTGTGTCTAAAAGCAATTAAAAAAAAAAAAAAAAAGAGAAAAAGAAAAACTCAACCTTTTTTACTCTAAGGGTGGTTAAACATTGGCACAGGCTACCCAGAGAAGCTGTAGTCTCCATCCTTGGAGAATAGTAACAACCTACTGGACACTGCTTGAGCAGTAGGACCAGACTACACAATCTGAAGAGGACCCTGTCATTCTGTGTAACTAAGTCCAAGAAAATAAACAACAGTGGGGAAGCACATGGAAACAGCTACACAGAATTTATCAGTGTGAGATGATACAGTGAATTACAAGTGCTTTCAGGCTCCTTCGGGCAGACTATCCAGTTTTATTACACTGGCTCCCAATGTATCACATCTAAGCAGTCACACAGATTTTATTGTCTTTCTGGAGATAGAGGAATTAGGAGCAGAAACAGAAAGGTAGCAGTTACACATCTGAACTCTAGGCTGGTTCAAAGCAGAAAACATGACAGAGAAAGAGTAGGGTCTGCAAAATAATACATTTGTGGTGACCACAGTAGTATAGGGATAGTTCTGCAATAAAAAGTTGTGAATAGGAGCTGCAAGGCTGCGAGACATCTTGATATGGCTGCAAGTGTTTGCAGAATGAAGCAGGAATGAACTGGGAAACAAAGCCACAGTTCTTGTGAAGTTTATTTATAAGAAAATTGTAAAACCCCAGTATTGTATGTGGAAAGCTTGTGGGCAAAAAACTTGTGTATTAGGACATCATAGACATCAAAAGACAAGCAGTGAAATCAGTATTAAACTATCACTATTAACTATTCCAGTAGTTAAATTTTCCATGAAAAAGCAGTAAATTGGTTTAATTTAAACTCTTATTTCAATCAACCCTGAAATATAGTGTATGCAAGGAAAGACTGCTGAAACTGACCACTCAACCCTTTAGGGAGGGACTGGCAAAGCCCTTAATTCCATCTGTTTCTGAAATAGAACAATGCAAATGTCCATGACTGCAGTGAGGCCAGGTTCATGAAACACAACCAATGCACACACAGGAATGGGAAAGTGTTTTACATACACAGACCTTAATCTTTCCCTAATGGCGTCATTGCAACAGCTCCCCTTATTCCCCTGGGAGAAGAAGCAAGTCTGTAGCTGAAAAATCAGCTCCAGCTCCTGTAAACACAAATTAGGAGCTGTGTCTGTGCCAGAAACACCATGCCATGCCATGTAACACTGACCTATTTGGTTCCCACAGTTTCTGCTTAAGCACAGTGCCATGCCCAGGAGAGTTTGGTGGGAGCAGATGCTGATCTGCCACCTTCCACCTGGCCGCTCTTCCAACCCACGTAAAACATTTTCACAAAGCCAAGACCAGTTATAGCAACACGTATCCACACCACCTTCCTCTAGTGCCAACAATAACATTTATGACTTCTCAAAGCTTCCATCTGTTTAAACATGGGTCCAAGCTGAAAGGTAAGAACAACTGAAGTGATTCTTCTCAGACAGATGCCGATGCAAGAAATTTCAGAAGGACTGTTTGACACACATCAGAAATTGGAAATGTGCTGAACAAAACAAGGCACTCAAACTCTATTATTTATAAAGAAAGAAGGAAAATTTTTGTTTCAACAAGAGGACCCTTAGAGAGGCAAGGTGAATGAGTTAATGAGAAAGAGAGGAAAAACTAGCCTTGAGAAGAAGTGGTGTGGAGAATTTCAGGCAAATTTCTAAAGGGCACATATCAGGCTATACTGAAAATTTGAACACATGGGAACTCTCCAGACACTGGTTCAATTATGGGTCATCCTTGCAAAACTAATTTCAATGGATTCTCAACCAGCTACAATAAATTTTATGGAGCAAATTCATATGTAAAGTGTGTCAAATTAAGTAAAGAAATTACAAAGGCTGAACAGTCTGACAGAACATTATTCTGCCGCAGCAGTAAGGGGCTGCAGGGGTAATCAGTATGAGAGGATGCCATGAACAGCTCTGTGCCAGTCACAGTCAATTCCAGCCACTACCAAACTGGATGAAAATATCAATCCATCATATCCTCAACAAGAGGAGCACAAGCTACTCTTGCTCAAATGTATTTTGGAAAGGGCAAGAGCAGTAGGGACAGGAGACACATTAGGAGATACAAGAGGAACCACAAAAGGAGACATGAGAATGCACAGGAGAAATACAAATATTTTTACAAATACAAGATATGTAAAAAGATGAAAATTGAGAAAAGGTAACATATGCTAGGTGACATTCCTGGGGATGTGCCTGGAAAAGTCATCTTGGAAAAAGTTGCTCCATGACAGAAAAACATTTTGAGGCAACTGCAGCACCCACACCAGAGCACAGAAAACCCTGAAAGGACTACAGCCCATTGAAAACCCATGCAGAAATGAGAAGCAGCTAGAAATAAGCAGCACCAGAGGGGAAACAAAACAAAATTAAACAAAAGAAAAAAAAGCAGGAACTGGCAGAAAGAAACCTTTACACAAGTGATGCCAATCTCCTGCGTCAACCAGCACCTCATCAAAGGAATTAAGAGGGACTGAGTGTTAGAGAGAACAAAAGAAGGGAAGCAGACTAGGAAGCAGGGAGGAGAGACAATAAATTGTAGTCAAGCCTGGGAAACTGGGAGGTATTTCCAAAAGTGTGCATTTAACTGTTTGTCTTTGACAACAGCAGCAGCAAAAATTGCAAAGTTCTCTCAGGCCATGTAGTTCACCAAGAAAGACTAGTGGGAGAGGAAATTGTGGTACAAATTGCAGATATTAGATGCCAGTACAGAAATTCTCTAGAAAGAAACTCTACACATTGAGCATCTAATTGTGGATCATCAAAATTTCTAGTTTTAGAATTCATTTCTCACTTGCTAATATCTCTCATACAGTCTTCGTATTCCAGAAGTATGTCCTCACAGTAAGGTTAAAACAGAAAAGTGACAGGTTATATTAAGCTAATAACAACACTGGTAGCACAAAAAAAAGAAGGAAAAAAAAGGGAAAAAAAAGAAAAAAGAAAAACGAAAAAATAAACCAAAAACAAAACAAAAAAAAACCCCACCAACAAACAAACAGATCACTCTACAAAGATATTCATCACAGGGATTACTAAATATAGAACTATGTAAATTGCCAAGCCCAGTAAACTGCAGCAAGGCAGTATTAAATTACCATTAATCAAAAGTACAAGAGAAGCAAGTCCTAAATGTCTTTTGTGTTTCTTATCAGTAGTTAGATGTAAGCAGGTGTTATGTGGCTGGAAGTTTGAAAGCTCACAGGCTCTGGAAGGCACCTTCTTTGTTTGACAACCCTGGCTGCAGGGTCAGCAAAGACCAGCACTCCTCACTTGGCTGAAACAGGCAGAGCTGTCATAAACCATCAGATGGTTCATTTTTTAGAGCCATGTAAAGTGTCCCTCAGTAATCTGATCATATGTTGTGTTCTTAGAATAACTCCTGCTGAGATCTGCCATGGTCACCAGAACCTGCCAACAGTTGTGACTCCTCTGTCGAAACCGCGCATTGGGTTTCACGGAGCTCCAGCCAACATTCCAACTGTGGCACAGCACCTCTATCCTCCATGGAGCCTTCCCCTGGGAAGCAGGGCATGAAAAAAAGCAGTCAAGAGATACTGCCTTATGTTCTTTACCTCTTATCCTTAACAGATAAATTTCCAAGGGCAGCAATTTGGCTCCCATTCCGTCTTACACTAAATTGCAAAATTTTGCATTCAGTAGTTATGGAGGAAGGAATTGGTAAAAGAAGTGAATAAGGAGGCTTTTGGATTCTCCATTCTACACCTGTGCACCTTTGAATATAACTGCAGAGAAGTGTATTCCTGTAAGGAAGAGGGATAATAGAATGGAATTCCCATCACCATAGAAAGCATTTTCCAGTCCTACCTCAAAGCTTCGTGCTGACCTTCTGTTAGTAAAGGAATATTAATTGTTCTGCCTCTCATAAGCAGTATCTTTTTATGACTTATACTTCCCCACACACCTGTTGCCAAAGAAAGTGAGATCAAATAATTCAATGATCAAAATCCTTTCAGTGGGAAATGACATGGAAGTGTCATGTTTCTTGGCAGATTCAGTATCTTTCTGTACCCAAAGCAAACATTTACAACTACCTATAAGGAGTTCTATAAGAGAAGCAAATATCCAGCTTTATCCAGTGAAAGGTTTATAAAAGGTTTATAAAAGTGAGGTCAAGAAAGTCATATCAACTCTAATTTCAAACTCTTTGTGATATGTCCTGGGACATGACTATGTCCTTGAACTTATTTAACTAACTGTTGGTTACAATCAGCATAAG